CCTATCGTTGTGTATTAGAGAACAATGTTCAACGCCACGCGCCAAAAGCACTGCTGCTGCTGCTAATGGTGCCGACAACCGGACATCACCACACACGATGATTGGAACTGAATCCGATCAGCGGTTGAGGCCAGCCTTGATAGCTAGCTGCTTGCGGGAAGCCTTTCATGGTGTACTGCAGATCATCACCACTCACCACGCGGTGATTAATAAACACCAGGCAATCGGTGATAACTTTAATTATCATAGCAACAGTTGCACATTCGTGCAATTTTGAATAGTGGCATTTTGAAAAAATGATAAAGTCTTAAATTTAACAGATGCGTAGAAATGTTTTTGATCGAGTGGTGATAAAATTATTGATATTGGTCCAGGGGCAGCTGAGTTATTAGCGTTCAAAATCTTTCATAATTTTGTTACATGTTCCATTTTTGGTTTTCGCAAAGTGTACCCCCTATATAGAAATCACAGACGTAGTCCTACGTAAAAAGAAATAAGTGGCATAGGAAAGCAGATAACTTCAATAGGTTTCAGTAAAGATACCTTTATTTTATCAATTTAGTTTAAAATAATGCCTTCTTGGAACTTATATATGTATTGTGAGATTTAAGAAATTGCACAATGAAATAATTATAAATATTTTCCATCGTTTTCAATACTCCAATATCGCTCGGATTTCTCAGAATTCCGAAAACTATATGCATTGAAAAAGCTTGTGATGGTAGTTTCCAAAATTCTACAAATTTAAGGAATTTCCAGAACTTTTAAAACGTCACATAGCGACGCGGCTGATGTAGTGGTAAGCGTGATTGCATCTCACTCCAAAAGGCCTGGGCTCAATCCCAGTCAGCGCCACCGGGATTTTCTGAGGCATAAAATCTCTTATCACGCCTTCCTTCGGAAAGGAAGCAAAGCCATTGGTCCCCGGTCTATTAGTTGATGGGTCGATAGGTTTGGAAGCTGGCGTCGGTAGTATTGGTGCTCAGTACGGAAAACAAGATCGGCGGAAAACAAATCAATGAAAAACATAATAAAACGTTACACAACTCCTCACATCCAGGAACTTCTACATCTTTTAGTGTCGATACAATCGGATCATCCCAATGGAGCTTCGAGAACTTTCAGAATTTCAAGAAATTTCAGAGCATGAATTTATAACTTAACGTTTTTTTTACAGCTGAATCTTCTGGTAAAATCCAGACACAAAGCTTGCGAGCAACGAAAAATCCACCACAAAGACAAGTATCGAATAGTTGAAAATGGCTTAGTGTGGTTTGAAATTATTTTACGTAAAATGTCACCGCAGTCGATAATAAATTCTAACTGTGGATGAATATCGTTACTACTAAATACTACTAGAAAATTTCAAGAACTACTTAAACTGAAGTGCTTTGAATGCTCTCGAAACTTGTGAAACTTTTCAAATTTCGGGGAGGTCGATACTTCAGGAATGTCGGGATCGTGGTAGGCTGCGATGAAGAGTTGACGTGTTTTATTTTTGCAGCCGTACCTTTTTTGAGTGAATTTGTATGATTTTATGAAGTTTCAAACGCGGTTGATGATTTCAAAAGTATATTTTAGTGTTCGTGATTCAGGAAAAAATCTTTAGAAATGTGTCCTAGTCGAGGGAAACCCATTCCGAAAAATGAAGTGTCGAGGAGGGCATCCGCTGGAACCGATTCGCGGACAAAACGGAGGTACCCGTGAATGTGTAAAAAGCCTGGGTGAAGTGCATTACGACAATTTAGAAGAAGAGTGAAGATGTCGCATACTCGCAAAGAATGGGAGAAGGAAGTTTCGTGACGGCTTTGGATAATATTGAGTAACTGGTAGAATTTGGTCCCTATTATTTGCCGCTGAGTAGCTGTTCCGAAGCCAAGTAGAACCTTCACGAGGCGTCCCATTATTAGTTCCAGCATTCGTTCCCGAGCAGGAAAAAATAACTAATGAATACCTAATTTTGATCTGATACTAAAATTTGGTACTGACCAGCATGACATAAGAGGTAAAATAACAACGAATAATACCAAAAAATTACATGGAAAATACTTCGTAAATACCAAAAAATGATATTTGGATACCAAAAGAATACTTGGGAGATATTTTTTGGTATTGCATAATCAAAATTTGGTATTGGAATGGTATTGTAGGAACATTTTCTGGTATTATTTTTTGGTATTTTACCTCTTATGTCAGGCTCATCCATACCAATTTAAGGTATCGAGATATTTGTTCCTGCTCGCGTTGAGTCGTAGCGTTGAACCTGACTATTGGCCACGAAAAGGCTTGCCAATGCACATCAAAAATCGACTACATACATCCGAACATTTGTTTATTTCAAATCCACGGAAGAAATTCCGCGCAACTACCATAAACCGGACTAGTTCATGTTCAACTTCATCAAGCTTCGTCTACAATTTGGACTTCTACATCAACACACGTCAAGCAGCCTTCAGGTTGAATTGGCTAAACTTGGTGAGTTCGTTCCATTTTGTAAACTTTTATCTATTCAAACCAGTAACGTTGGGAGATCATCTTTTTGTGGTGCGTTACTGGCATAAGATCTACCACCGAACCCTAGTCGTGACAACTTCAATCTAGGGAATCAGAATTTTCCAGTTATCAAAGGATCACATTTTAGTCCTTGTTACTTTTTATGACTTGATAATAGTGACAAGAGTCGGGTAGTGACCACCGCCGTTATGCGTTTCTGTATTGTTTATTTCAAATCAAAAATATTGTTTATGTTCATAGATTTCACATAATACTTTTCCCTTTGTCCTTCTCCTTTTCCTTTTCCTCTTCTCTATTCAGAAAGCGAGTAATGGCGCTATAGCCATAAGTCATAAAAGGCTAGGACAAGAGTTAGTGCTCATGCCCCAACCGTCAGAAGAAAATGGAGCATCACATAACCTTTCTAGCTGTGATGCTTCCAACGACCAACCAATTGTATAATTACCAAAATCGGAAAGTACGGTACGAGATGCATCTCGTATGTGAAACATATATCAAATAGACAAGAAAAATGATGTAGGTATATATATCATTTTCCAGGATGCTTTCAAGAACTGACTGTGTTGGTGTTAGATTAGATTAGTCGATACTTCAGGAATGTCAGTACTCTTGCCATCGAAATTCCCGGATATCCAAGAACAACTGAAACTTCGAAAAGTAGTAGGAACTGCCTGAACTGTCGTAAATCTTCGGTATTCTGATAAATTTTGGAACTGCATAAGCGACTGGAACTTTCAGAACTCTGCATACACCAGGACTTCTCCGAACTATAAAAACATTGCTTCTTAGCCTCTGAAATGCTCATCAATTTATTTCAATTTCTGAATCTCGACAAATTCCATGCGCTGTCAGGAACCAGAGTGCTCTAAGAATTCAAGTAACTTTCAAAAACATTCGGTACATTTGGAACTCTATGAGGAATTCTGATACTTTTGGTTCTTCTAGAACAGCAGCCTTACAGAGCTCTCCTAGAACGTCTGGAGCATTTGGTACCATAATGCACCCAATACCGGACAGTTCCTTAATCCGCCCATTTTATTTTTAATGAAATATTACGTCTACTTTGCGAAATAATAAAAATGTGTGATGATTCTGAACGATGGTTAAAGACCATTGTAAAATTAACGTGCTATTTTGAGCATAGTACGCAGTAGCAGCCAACTTTTACAAGAGTTTGAATTTGTGGACCAACTGCTCGGATTTTCAGTCTTTACGGAACTTGAGAAATTTTCGGGACTACTGATATTATATTCCTGAAGGAGATGCTAGTAGCACGCAGTATCTACTGCCTAGGTGGCAAAGCACTGAGCTTGTGCTATTGATCTCTTTATGACAGCACATTCTTTTGTATTTGTTCACTACATTAATCTCAATCAATATCTTGGATACTACGTACCTACCGAGCCCATTGAAAAGTAGCAGTAAATATCAATGGAAATTTATGGAAATGTTCGTTTTGTTATTGAAACATAAAAGAACAGGGAATCTGTAATGCGAAGACACATCAATATGTAGGTCTGAATGCTTTGTTTGCCCCGAAATTTCGATTTCACTGCCACTGAAACAGAGCCATCTGTTGCAATATAACACATTGGATCATGTCCAATTGTTCGTACTCCAGTACTCCACGTACATTAAAAACCCCTGGAAAAGCCCGAAACTCCCAGAACTGCCAGAGACTCCAGGGAATCCTGGATTTTGAGGATGGGGATTATCCTGGAGTGTGAAAACAATGTAAATGTATGTAAAATACTGGAAATTACTTTTTCCCGAAGGAATTAAAGTATGTGTCGTACCGGGAGCTCCAAAGTTTCGAGTCTTAGCTAAAACTATGTGTGCTTTTCGTGACACGTATAGACACACACAAAAAAGCACTATAATATTAAAGACAGCTTTCCGCAATTAAGTACCTGTTGCATACAAACTAGAATTGTCAAATTGTCAACCACCACTAGCATTGTCTTCCAAGCGAAGGTCACAGCATTTTCTTGCTAAATTACAATCGAATCACCTCCCTCGTCCCACCACTAAGTCAATCCGCTCGAGCTGTGAGCCTCCAGTCTCCACCTTTGTTGAACCCACCAAAGGCACCCCACACGGTATGGGAAACTTGTTCAAATCCTCACACACCAGCTAGGTATGTACCTGTATGTGCAACGGCAACAATTCATTGGCATGTAATAAGCACTTTAATTTTGATTACATTTTTCTTTTATCTCTGTCCAGCATTTGTTTCACCATTCGGTTTTCCTCCATCCACCTTCTACAGACACTCTACATAGTCCATGGCAATTACGATTACCCAAAGCAACGGCCAATTACGGTTAATCACGATTAGCACTTGCATTTCCTGTATTTTTTTTTTCTTATCCATGGAGCAGAGCTTAAATTTTTCCAATTTTCCTCGACTTTCTGAGCAAACCCACTGCCACTATCTCACTGTTCTCCCAATGAATTTTCTGATTAAACATTAACGAAAAACTTACAGCTTTCATTTTGGTAGATTTCTTTGTTGCGTTTCACACAAACACACTGGCAGGATACAATTTTCCACACAATCGGCACTGGCAACACTGCTTGCAACAGGAACCGAAGGGATCTCGGGGGTGGTTGATGAAGGATGGCAGGGAATGGTTTCCTAAAGCACCTTGCTACTGCAATTCACTGCACTCACACACGCACAGGAACGTTTCCAACAACTAAGAACGGACGAACAAAGCGGCGGTCACTTCAAAATCCCGAAGGATGGCGGGTTCGGAAATCCTAGCGATTCGAGCACTGAACACTAAATGACTTGCGGGCAACCCGCGGTGGCTGATTTTATATAATATAAACCAAGCAGCGATCGAGCCCCAAAAAAAATACTCTCGGCTCTCGCGCTGCTGTGGGCTTCGAGAGCGGGAGCTCAGAGCCAGAGAAGCGAAGATCAGGAAATAAAGTTTGCAAACAATGTGCGCGATCGACGGCGGTGACGGCGCCGCCATGTGCGCCTTCACGCTCGGAGATGCATCCCAGAAGCTGAAGCAGCAACCCCCTAGAGAGCCCTACCGGAGAGAAAGAGCATTCGTGCATGCGAGAGATCTCTCAGTTGCAGCGAGCACGTGCGGAACTATCGGATCTGGGGCCATGGCGTACGTGACCAAATCTACCCCCCATTGGATGCACTGCACCATCGGTCGGCTGCAGCTTTGGAGTCGCGTTTTTCTCCATCAGAACTTTACGGGTCTACTTAGGCACGGAACCATAAACCATACGAGGTAGACCTGAATGCATTTTTCATGTAACTGCTCATACACACGGAGATTTGTCTGTAGACAAGAGCTGGGGCTAGTGGGTCTGTTGCCAAGCAGCTACGAGTCGGTACATGAATGGATGGACGGATGGACGGACGGACGGACGGACGGACAGATGGATAGACAGGCGATCATATTCCGGCGGCAGTTGCGGCGGCCCACGTCGCGTTCTAACAAGAACAATCGCCCCATTACCGGTACGCAGACGGCGCGAGCGTTATTGGTTGCCCGGGAAATTGGAGGTCAGTTATGGAAATGTACCAGTGAGTAGACTTTTTGCGGAATTCATTAGAACGTGTGATTGTATTTGTTTTTCAAGCGATATGCGATGCTTCTTGGAAAATGTTGATTTCGCTGCTCACAATTTCTTCGATTCAATTTTCCATGTTAAGAACAATCGCTGTCGAAATTAGTGAGTTAAATTGGCACCACTAAAGAGAAACTCATGTGGTCATTTTCCTTTAAGGGGTGGGACACCTGTTGAGATCTCTAAAAAGGGTTTTTTTTTTAAATTTGTTTTTTAGAATATTACAATAAATGAAATCACTTCTGAATTTCAGTATGTTATTAAGCAACATTTCGGCTTTATTTTCGAAAATGTTCAGCCCAATGCAGCCAGCGATGACAGCACTGAAACATCGGAGAAAATAAATAATAAGTGTTTTGAGTCCTTCTGTTGCCACAGGAATGAAAGGCAACTCACTGATTGACGTAAAGGCAAGCTATATTGACGTATGGGATGGCCGTTCAAGAAATGTGCGACCACATTGAAGCGGCGAATGAACGAGCTCATTTGTCAAACCCTACTCTTCTGCAAGAGCTTGTTGGGAAACTGCCCGCTGATCAGAAGCTAATGTGGGTAGGTTATAAAAAAAGAACGTGCAGTTGTGGACCTGAAAACCTTCAGCGAATACATGACTGGACTGATACAGGATGCTTCAAGCGTGGTACTGTACGAGTCGGATTCACGGAAAAACAACCGAAGAGAGAAAACGAAGGCATTCGTAAACTCACACGTGACCAAGGTCGTCGAGGTGTCCACTTCGACAGCGACGCAATACAAGTCGGGTGCATGTCTACATTGCGAAAAAGAAGGTCATAACCTTCTGGAGTGTCAGACGTTTAGAGCACTCTCCATCGACGATCGTTGGCTACGGAGTCGGGCACTGAGCGTGTGTCAAATCTGTCTATTCGGACATGGAAGAAGAGCTTGCCGCAGTAACAACCGATGCAACGTTAGCGGATGTCAGTTCAAGTATCATCCTCTATTGCATGGGAAGTCGACAGCACCTGCAACTCAAGTTGGTAACAGTCACACTCATCGGCTTCTGGATTCGGGTGTCTTGTTCCGGATTATATCCGTGACGTTGCACGGAAAGTCAGGGGAAGTTGATACCTTCGCTTTTCTGGACGAAGGCTCGTCATTGACGCTAGTCGAAGGGGATCTGGTAGCGCAGCTTGGGTTGGCAGGAGAACCACGTCCACTCTGTCTGAGATGGACCGGGAATACGTCGCGGGTAGAGAAGGAGTCACAGACCGTAACAATTACAGTTTCGGGACCGAATCAGAAGCGATATTACAAACTTTTAAATGCTCGCACGGTACAGAATTTGGACCTACCGACGCAATCCTTCGAACTAGAAGAGGCAGCAAAGAAGTTTGCTTACTTGAAGAAGTTGCCAATTCAAAGCTACAACAACGCCAGACCGGAGATTCTAATCGGGCTAGACCACTTAAAGCTTGCTGTACCATTGAAGACGAGAGAAGGAGATGGATCAGGACCCATTGCCGTCAAAACACGACTAGGATGGTGCGTCTACGGGCGGCAAGATTCAACGAGCAGCGAGGACTACAGCTTCCATGTTTGCGAATGTACGAGTAACGAAGCGTTGCACGAGAGTGTTAAACAGTTTTTCGCTGTGGAAGAGAATGGGGTACAGCAACTCGGGACCACTCTCACTGCGGAGGAAAAGTGTGCTCAAGATTTTTTGGAAAAAACAACGAAGCGTGTCGGTAGACACTTCGAGATGGGCCTACAGTGGAAGGAGGATGAGATTGAGCATTGCGAAGACATCAGTGTCTCCAACGGTGGATGGAACGCAACCCAGCTCTACGAGAAAACATCAGCCGTCAAATCCGAGAGTACGTGGAAAAAGGATTCGCACATAAAGCAACTCCTGCTGATTTGAACAATGCGGATCCCAGGAAAGTTTGGTTCTTACCATTGGGAGCAGTTACGAATCCAAACAAACCTGGAAAGGTGCGCCTTGTATGGGACGCGGCGGCCAAAGTTTCTGGTGTATCGCTGAATAGTGTGTTACTGAAAGGGCCGGACCAACTAACGCTCTTGCCTGCCGTACTCTTCCGTTTTCGTCTGTACTACGTAGCTGTCAGTGCAGATATAGAGCAAATGTTCCATCAGTTAGGCATTCGATTATCCGATAGGAACTCGCTGCGCTTCCTGTGGAGTGAAACACCCGATGGACCGGTAGAGATTTACCTGATGGACGTTGCAACGTTCGGTGCTACTTGCTCGCCTGCGTCTGCACAGTATGTGAAAAATTTGAATGCCAAGGAACACATCCAGCAGTACCCAAGGGCCGTCGAAGGGATATTGAAGAGTCACTACGTCGACGATTACCTCGATAGCTTTGGCAGTGAAAGTGAAGCGGAGAAGGTTTCAGCAGAGGTGCGACTGGTTCATCACAACGGAGGATTCCATCTACGAAATTGGAGATCGAACAGTGGAAAAGTCTTGGCGGAACTTGGGGAATCAGCGGTGGTAGACAGCAAGAACCTGTATGTTGATTGCGATGAACAAGTGGATCGAGTACTCGGCATGCTGTGGTCATCAAGATCGGATGAATTGAGTTTCTCCACCCGTATGAGCGATGAAGTTAGGAACCTCCTGGACAGCGGCGCTCGGCCGACCAAACGTCAAGTATTACGATGCGTAATGTCACTGTTTGACCCGCTGGGATTACTCCTACCGTTCATAATTCACGGGAAGGTGTTAATCCAGGACTTGTGGCGGGCTGGAACAGACTGGGATGAAGCGGTAGTCGATGAAGTGTTTGAGCACTGGAATCGCTGGACAAGGATGATCGAGTTCATTTCAACCGTGAAGATACCGAAGTGTTATTTTCCCAGAGCCACCACAGAAACGTACAAGGATGCTCAACTTCACGTATTCGTCGACGCCAGTGAGATTGCTTACTCGTGTGCAGCTTACATTCGAACGACCGTAGGAGATGGAGCACCTGCTTGTGTTCTGGTTTCCGGCAAAATCAAGGTGGCACCGTTCAAACCGATGTCCATTCCAAGGTTGGAGCTGCAAGGATGCGTTCTCGGTACACGTCTACTAAAATTCGTAGAAGACAATCATCCAATCACTTTCTCTAAAAGTTTCCTCTGGACGGACTCTACGACAGCGCGATCATGGATCCGGTCGGACCCACGACGCTACAAGCCCTTTGTAGCTCATTGAGTAGGAGAGATACTGGAGAGTACAGATGTAAGCGAGTGGAGATGGGTTCCGTCCAAGCTTAAACCAGCAGATGAGGCAACCAAGTGGGGCCGAGGACCTTACTTCGACCAAAATAGCCAATGGTTTGACGGGCCAGAATTCTTGCAACTTCCAGAAGAAGCCTAGCCAAAGGCGGCCGAGTCAACTGAATCTACTTCCGAAGATGTCAGACCGTCCGTGTTGTTCCATATCGTAGTTGAACCAGTATTGGACTTCGAACGATTTTCGTCGTGGAAGAGGATGCTACGCACCACAGCATATGTCTTACGTTTCCTCTATAACACCGCCAAACCGGAGCAGAAGTTGCTTGGACCGCTTACACAAGCTGAGCTACTCGGCGCTGAGCACACGATTTTGAAACTCGTACAGCGGGAGAGTTATCCCGATGAAACGGCCACCCTCGAACGGAATAAATCCGAGCCGAACGACTTTCAGGTGCCCCTTGAACGGAAAAGCAAGCTGTTCAAGTTGATGCCTGAAGTAAACGACGTCGGTTTGATGCGACAACGGAGCCGTATAGTAGCCGCGACGGATGTGACCTACGATGCCCGGTTTCCGATTATTTTGCCCTCAAAGCACCGGGTGGTGAACCTTCTAATAGAAGATTATCATCGCCGTTACCGGCATGCGAATAGCGAAACCGTCGTTAACGAACTTCGTCAGCGCTACAACATCCCCAACTTACGACAGCTTGTGAAGAAGGTCGCGTATACCTGCCAGCTGTGCAAGATCCGCAAGGCTCTTCCTAGAAATCCACCGATGGCTGCACTTCCTCCAGCTCGTCTTGCGATGCACGTTCGTCCGTTTAGCTACGTGGGTCTGGATTATTTTGATCCTCAAAAGTGGGAAGATCAAACGTGAAGAACGTCTCACTGTACGAGCCGAACACCTCGAGGTAGCGTACAGTTTGTCAACGGCTTCCTGCATATCCTGTGTACGACGATTCATCGGGCGTCGAGGATCGCCGAT